TATGCATTAATAGCCTTCATTATTAGGTTATAAGCACCAGATGTCCATTCGTTTTAGTTACTATCTGTAGATTTACATGGTGATAAAAGCCCCGTACCGGCCCGTTTCTGTGGATTTCGAAATTATATAACGCACACGTTGGGTACAAAGCGTAATTGCAGAATAAACAAATGCAGGTTTCCTTCTGTTTCTATAGCAAAAGTCGTTTTGACAATTAAGTCATAGTGAATCAATTTTGGGGGACAACTTCACGCAGGCCACTTGTGTCAAAAGTGAACTATTAACGTTCTTTATAAGTCGTTAAAGCAGTTCCGCGAAAAATCAATGCAAAGGACCCACTTATCAGAAACTATAGAACTATTGGTAATCTTTTCAGGACTCTAAAAGAAGTTCACTTTGATTCAATGGGCAGATGCGTCAAATAGACCCCTACGTTTTCAATTTTATTTACAAAGTGACATTTCCACGGTAATCACGGAATCACAAATAATCAGTCCACTTAATTAGAAATGTATTCCAGTATATCGTCAATATGATTTCATTTTATTTCCCTTATTTTTAATTTATATGGCAGGTACATGGTGGTCTATACCACCGTGGGCAGGTATAATAAAAAAATACTATAAGGAACGCGTGTTTAATTGATTTTTAAAGTACTTCCATCGTTATCTTTTTCTAAGAGATTGTTAGAAAAAACCTAATTTTCATTTTTTCAGTTCTGCGCAATTAAAACGTACATGGAAGCTTAAACCATTGTTTATACTCGTAAATGAATAAACAACGCCTAAACGTACATGATAACTTAAAAACTGTTCTTGGATATACGAGCATAGTTGTTACTACATTTCTAGAAACTAAAAAATTCGGTTTGTTGTCCGTCTGAAAAATTGTATCCTTAAAAATGTTCGGGTTCGCATATCCATTATCCCGTCACATTTTAAATGACAATATTGTGCGTCAATGGGCCTCGTAATATATAATTCCGATTCCAATCCTACCTGCTGTTGGCGTGTAAGAACTTTTCACTGAAATGCGAAAATCCGCAAGAGGTGAATCAGTTTGAACTCATAAATATTTCAGTGCAGAATAATTTTACTAGTAATAGGAGCATTTCTAATTTAAATTAACCAATTAATTCGCTAAGAAACAACATAAAGCCTTTTACGATAACTGAATTTAAAGTGTACATCTACATTTTTAAGTGGAAATTCCGCTCGTTTTATTATAGGTGGATAATCAATCTTCTGTTTGACTTCGGCGTAAATGAGAAGATAGAAGATTGAAACGTGTTCGCATGAAATTGAACTTTGTAAGGGAAATGAGAAAGTTGGAAGTATTGACGAAGAGTACTACCTACTTGACAGGTTACCTAATTGTAAAGGTTTAAGAAGAGTATTATTAGAATACATTTTAATATCTTTACTAGAGAGAACCTTGGCGCAAGATTCTGATGACACTATGATTTTAACTAGGGTTTTGCACTTTTAATTAAATAGATGTTAAAATGCACCACTAAAAAACAAAGGCAAATACTAGTTCTAGTTATTATTAATACTCAATATTTAGAAATGCTTTGAAATTTAATTTAACACTTATGGTAAAATTACTAGATTAGAGGAACGTACCAGGTGAAGTTCTAATTTTATCTATGTAATAAACGTTAGATCCCCTAACCGAGCCCCTACATGAATTTTATTTACATTGAAAAAGATTTACTTTTACAATATTTAAAAAAATGACCATCAAATCATTACGGAATATGTATCGTTATTTTTGACTATTCAACTAATGTAAATCCTTGAAAGCCACGATCTACATTGAATGTAAAATAAACATAATCAGTAAATTGTAAGGCGTCTATACTACCTTCTAGTTGTCCAACTTTGTAAATCCGGGTTTGAGTTCTAATTTTTTTGTTTTTTAACTTTTTTTCAATTATTACGTTTATAGAGGAAGAATAAAGACTATTATTATTTAAGTGAAATTCTTCTTGGCGTGGATTTCGGACTGGTACGGGTCGCAAAAATATTCCCACTGACTGTGGAAGATCTTCTGTTCACTGTATTTTTTTCCGGGTGCCTGAAATAGCGATTCGCGTTTTCCCTCCGCAAAGAATCTCTCAATTTTTCCCTCAATGGCGCATCCTACCTAATTTTCTAATTAATCTGGTGCTTTATTAATTAAATCGGCCACGTCAGTGCTAGGGAATTTATCAACATCCCACGCTCTTTTACCTTTGCAATCCTGCATATTACAGGAACGTTTCGTTTTTAGATAAACCCATTTCCTGCGAGGTCCCTGATTTGGTTGATGCACCCAACAAAATGAGTGCGTGAGTCGAAAAGTGATTTGAAAATGATATGCAATGGTGTTCAATGGCCTACGAAACCTATTAATTATACTTCTAAGGCAATAAGAAGAAGAATTATATAAATGCTATTATTAACTTTCCCCTAATGTCCTATATTGGTGCATTACAGTTAATATTACATTAGTGTAATGCATTAGCTTCCGTATTAATAAAGCTTTAGGTCGAAACGCGTACACAATGAGATAAATTTATTGGAATTGAACTTGGCAAGCAAAGTTTCAGTTTGTTTTGTTAATTCGGTTAGCTATTTGTATTCTCTTCTGAACGCGATTGCCACGAAACTTGTGGCAATGAAATGAAATGTTAATCCCATCATGCACCAATATGCACTTTGCTCAGTACGCTGAAAGAATTTTAATTATTCAATCTTCTTAAGTGAATAAATTCAATAGACGATCAATATTATAAAACGTGCACATCTCAAAAAACATACTCGCCTTTGATCTGAGGTTACGGAAGATCGAATTCAATTTCATCAGAATTATACTGTTTTGCGCATTTTTCTCACGTTACGTTTTCTAACACATAGATATTGTTTTTCCAAGGTGTATGGGTAACATTTTTCTCTTCCGTTTGCTGAGGAATCATAAGTAATTTTCCTAAACTCCTTGCCTAGAAATGAGCGCCACCCAGCTGCATTAAAAGTTTAACTAGCCTTGTATGGAAGTGGGAAGATACCAGGGAAGTAATAATGACTTTCAATACGAAAATACTGACAATTTCTTCAACAACAATCAAAATAAATTTAATAAATGTTAATTAAGTTTGCCCTTATACTTAAACTTCAAATAAAATTCACAATTAATACCGAAAATGAATAAATCCCCTAATTCAATAAAGATCTAATAAATTGAGTTACTGAATCTCACAACGATTCTCAAGTAAAATAATATTCCGAGCACAAATTCGCACCGATCATGCCAAGTGCAAGTCTTACCTTTAATATAGTAGGCTGTCACACTTCGAACGAAACCAGGCTGTAACAAAATAATGACAAATCCGGGTCTTGATCCACTTGTAATCCGTTTCATTGTGCACTACTTCTGAAGGAACGTAGTGTACTCCAACAATATAACGCACTCGATCATATATCGGCAGAGATTACGAATCTCAAACAAAAGCTAAAGTTTACGTAATGGTAAAAATAAACTCTTACACCAAAGTTTTCCGACGATCGAAAACACTCAAAGCGAAAAATTTAAAATCTTGAAGTCCCACCCCCGTTTAAAAATCATCCCGCACACAAAAGAAAAACGCCCTTTTCAAAATCCAAGCAAATCGATTTGTCCACCTATGCTCAACACCCTAAGAAACCTGGCACGCTTTTCACCAAAACATACCCACTCACATAGGTCCCAAAGACAGATGAAAACTTAACATAAAAAAGATTAAAATAAGAATCTTTTCACCAAAAAAGGAACCATTCTAAAATAATGTTGCCGAAAGCAATAATTTCCTTACTATCCAGAACTAAAGCTAAAACTAAACCTGAGCAATGGTAAAGAAACCACTAAACCTTAGCAGGGACATTAGTCAACCCAAAGGGCATGTGGAGAAATTGAAAAAAACATGACCAGACATCACGACGACTTTGAGTATGTCTTTATGCCCATAATCCCTCAAGAAAATGAAGATAGCATTTCAGGTGGACATAGAAAGTTGCACAGGGTACTTAATAATCCGAAAAAAAGGGGAATACATTTTTCTTCGGTCAAATTTTCACTTTTGTAATCGTATACTGCACACTAAATACATTGAGGATGTCTGCAATACGCGTAATTCTAAATGCGAGGAAATTGTTTAAGCTTAGAACATGTTCAGCTTCATGTTTAACTGTGATCCCGCTCTTTTAAGGTAGCATTGTCTCATTTTGTGTTAATAATGGAAAGCGGGAAAGCGTTCCATTTATGTATAGGTTGATTTAATGACTTTGAATAGTTTAGATGAGCCTGTCTGCCATTAATTAATTCCCTTGGTAAACCTTGAAGTATTTCGTTGCATGCTCAAGACACTATTCACAATAATAGGCTTTCAGTTATTAATTGTATCTTAGTTTCCGCCCAATTATGTAATTTAATTTTGTTGCTTGCAGCGCTGATGTTAACGTATCTGATTTTATCTGTCCATCTTTCATGAAGTGGGTACGGCAACGGCTGACTGTGTTAGAAAATAATTGGTCAATTTTTGTTGAATTTGTAACAATCCATAATCACGTACTTCACTTTTGTGATTTTGACCTCAACGCCTCAAATTCAATCGATCTCTTACTCGGTATTTAACGTGCATAAAGGCGGGCAAACGGACGGACGGGTGTTGGTTTTGAATGTAGCATGATTGCAGGTTACTCTAAAAGGTTTCACAACTTGACATTCAGTCGTCGTGTTCAACTGTTCATCCACTATTTTTGCAGTCAGATCCGAATGGCTTTAGAGGCTCTAAAAGCTCCTACAGGTTTAAAAGTCAAAGTTGATACTCATAAAACATGTTAAAGGATGAACTAGTAAAAAACTTAAAGGCTCTAAAATACTCTAAAAAACCTAGGAAACGTTCAAAGCTCTTCGAAAATTAGGCGACCCTTAAGAGCTCTTACAAACCCTTAGAAAGCTTTTAGAGACCCTTAGGGACTTATTTATGGCGTTTCAAAGTTCGGTATGTAAACACTCGCAAAGTCTAATTTACCAAACTGCTTCATAGGATTGAATCTCCACTCTAGCAAAGCATCTTTCCAAGCGCTTTTCACTGGTCTAAATGCTGCTACGTCTGCTGGTTGTAAAATTCTGGTAGCATTGAGGTACAATGCTATTAGTATGATCCCTAATCTAGTACACAATTCACTTAATTGGAAGGTAAGGTGTGTTTTATGTCCATCCACAAACAAAATTATTGGAAATATCACATTCATTTCAACCACACTTTTATAAAACACATTACCAATGTACTCATAAAAAACTTCGGACTTCATCCATCCATTGTCGCCATTACCGATGCCCCAACCTTTCGGAACAGTATCGACGATTGACTTTGGCATCCTTTTATATGGATAAATGATCATTGGAGGAGTTACTCTGCCGTCAGCACAAAAAGAAAACATTACAGTCAGATTTGATTTGGAACTAGCAGCGTCAACTTCATAGACATCCTTCGACCCCTTCTGGGCGACCACCTTTTCTTGTTTTGGGCAAAACATGAAAGCGGTTTCATCGCCATTAAATATGCGACTGGGATCTTCCAAAATGTCGTCATATCCTCTTGATTTAAGGTATTTTCCAAGTTGAGTGAACCAACCCTTTATGTCACTGAAAGCAATTTGGCTACTAGCATTTGTTACTGCTTCGGAGGTTCTCATCCTTAATTCCTTATGTCGCCCAAGAAAAGCTTGAAACCATTTCTCTCCCGGCATATTTTGTTTGAAAAGTGGCACCGTTATACCAAGGTTGTCTAAGTAATTTTTAACAGATAATTGAATATCAGTTTTGCGCCTTGGAAAACCTTTCCTTTGGCACTCCAGAATCCATTTTACCAAGCTTTCTTCTGCATCAGCCGATAAAACTGGTCTGGGACCATGAGCCGGTTTTTTAAATTTGTTAGATAATCTGAACTGTATAGTGGCTCTAGGAACATTAAAAATAACTGAAGCCTTTTTTTTCGACATCCCTTTATGAATTTCTTCAATTGCCTTAGCGACATATTCTTCGGTATAATTTTTCACGTATTTTTGCGTGTTCTTTACTTTCGGCATACTAATGAATATTTATCTGAAAGGAATTAATAATTGCAATACTTCTACCCCGCAAATTAATTAAATCTACAGTTAAGTAGCAAATAAAAGCAAAGTGCCAATAACTAAATACAACAGAAATCTCCAAGTATCCAGTTATTGGCATATGGTGCCAATAACTGAATTCGACATTCAAATCTGTGCTAGTAGTTGGCACCAATAAAATTCGCTGAAAAGTTGTGTTTTGATGTTAAAACAGAATAAAATTGTTAGAATATATCATAACTCATAATGAAAATTTAATATTAAACTAGTTACCGAAATTAAAGCAGTAATGATGGATAATCGAAATCACTTACCCTTAAGAAAACACTAAGAAAATCACTATACCTACAAAACATTACTTCTCGAATAATGCTTTGACTAACAGAAACGCTACATGGAATGGCTTGCGCAGTCGTAAATAAGTATAGAAATAGTATAATTTTCGCGGTTATTTAAATTGACTTAGATATAGCTGAAATAAATTATATAACGTGAAAACCACGTTTACAAAAAATAGGTAAAATATGCCAGCTAATCAGGTCGGCGCAATGGTCGTAGGTAAGTACATATAATTTATCTGTAATCAAAAGACAACTTAAACATTCCACCAAAAGAATCAAACTCATGCATTTACCCAAACACAAAGATCTTTATTCGAAATTTAAAAAAAAAGGTTTTCGTTGGCACGTAGTGAACAAAATTAATTAAATTGATATAATTGAAGCTTACATCACACAGCTTTTATGTAAATGTGGCCATATTTTTACAGGTAGCGCTGCAGATTTAGAAAGTAAGTACTAATACTAATTGGTTTGAACACATCCATTACCAATGGACAAGTAGCCACTCTAGTTACGTTAAATTAATAAATATATCGAAATCAACTTTTAAACAGCAAAAGAACAAATTTATTTCAGCTGCCAACTTTTTATCCAAAGTTGTGCTTGTCCACGGTTTAAACAAAAATAACAAATTTGTATGAAAATAAATCAAAAACAAATCCAAAACTACATACCAACTGATTTGTGTATTGTTATAAATTGAACTTCGAATTTTCCAGATTGAATGGCGGTAGGATTATCCACAAAGGTTTTTCACGGAAGGTTACTCCCAACAAATGATATCGCTTGCCTCGGCGCCTTTTGACCACAACCCAAAAAAACGTCGAACCCCAAACGTGGTAAGTATTTCTTCTGCACAGCAGCTTCGCTTTATTTTTAGAACTTGATCCGAAACCAAATTTTCAGAAAAACATAACCCATATAAACCCAAAAATAAAAGGCTAAAAAAATATATGTATGAATAGAACGAACGATCAGAAAAAAACTTACGACTTGGCAACAAATCCCTTTTCAAAACACCGTCTAATCGAAGTCAAATTTCAAAAAAACAACTCTTGGTAGGTAAGTAATTAACCTTTGACAAGATTATATTTGCAGTTTGCCATAAATTAGCAACAAATTCTACGGCGTAATTCGTTTCACCGCAGCCGTCTTTTCGCTTTCGTAGCTATCAAGGAAGTATTGGTGCTTATCTATTGGAAATTTTGAGTTCCTTCAAGGATTTATAGTGATATAAAATTGAATAAACGAGAAAGGTACACTGTTAAAATGTATTTATTTTACACTGTGAACATAAATTTGTTACAAAATGAAGGTGCCAATAACTGTTGGGGGTGCCAACAACTGGCAGGTTTACCCAATCTGTCGTGTTGGTTTTGAAATGTAGCATGATTGCAGGTTACTCTAAAAGGTTCACAACTTGACATTCAGTCGTCGTGTTCAACTGTTCATCACTATTTTTGCAGTCAGATCCGAATGGCTGCTCTAAAAGCTCCTACACGGTTTAAAAGTCAAAGTTGATACTCATAAAACATGTTAAAGGATGAACTAGTAAAAAACTTAAAGGCTCTAAAATACTCTCGAAATTAGGCGACACATAAGAGCCTCTTACCAACCTTAGAAAGCTTTTAGAGACCCTTAGGTACTTATTTATGGGGTTTCAAAGTTCGGTATGTAAACATTCGTTTTTAAAACTATGGGTTCTTTGGAGCCTTTTGGAGATTTTTAAACGCTTTTAAAGGCCTTTTTAATGGTGCCAAAGATTGGTAAATACTTGTAAGCGTTCTTAACTGCTTTTAAGGTAGATAAGGGCTTTTTGAGATTCACAAAAGCGGCAAAAAGGGTCCACATTAGTGTAAAGAAAAGAGAAATCTTTTGGAAAACTTGTTGGAAGTCCTAATAACTTCGAAGGCTCATACATTCTTAAAAGACTCTTAAAGTTTCATAAAGCCTTAAGGATAAGGCAAAGTGTAACCTGGGCTCTAAAAGCTTTGTACTCTAGAATCTAATGAAAATGTTGGCGACTTTTCAAATTTTGAAAAGTCACTAACTTACGGAAGTGTTTAAGTACTGTTTCCTTAGTGTCCTTTAATACAGTCCTTTACTGCCCTGAAAAAATGTTATAGACCCTAAAGTTTCAAGAAGATTACGGTCGCAAACTTTTGAAGTGTAATGAAAACAGTAATAGCAGTTTACTACGGACAAAAGAACAGAGAAGGTCGTGGCAATAGGGCATCTAATAATAAAATGTTTTTTATTTTATGTAGAGTCGTGAAAATTTCAAAATCTTAATTCCCGTATCCGAGTCCCACATATGTCCAGATCATTTGCAGGTTTGCTAGATTTTGAAATTCTAAATTACACAATTTTCTGTTTGTCTGTCTGTTCATACCGTAACTACTTACTTTCTCAGATACAGAGTGCCCGCTATGTAAGGAATATAGTATGTATGTCGGTAAGTAACGACTCTATACAAAATTTTCCTATATAAAAGTTGTTTAATATTTTATTTAGCACAATAAGGCAGCGTTGGGTTGTTTTTATTTCAGAAAACAAATGAGTAACGAAAAAACAATTACATTTTTTAAATAAAAATGTACCTTTTTATTAGGCTCGTTTGATAGAGATTTTTTTCTGTTTTCAATTACGTAACACGCACCCTAAACAATTAAAAAATTTTTCGAACTCACACCTGTGAGGTTAGAGTACGAGTCTTAAACCGCTACGCCAAACTGACTATATAAAAAAAGTAGTGTAATAGAAATAATATACATTATAGGTTTGGTTAGACTACTACATAAAATAAAAGACACTTCCATGTCACGTGTGGATACACTTTAATAAAACCACTTTTGAAAGAGCATACAGTCTAAGCTTTGAACGTCTTAGGAAAGAACAACATCGCAAAGAGAGTTACATTTTGCATCATGCAAGGATCGCCTTTTCCGTATCGACCACCGGAAGGGTAAACCGGGACAACTCTCGTACCTTCCATAGACCGATTCCTCTTTGTTATTGACCGCCAATCAACTTTGAACGACTTTTTCGTATCAGCCGCTGACTAGCATCGACCGCCTTATCATTCGAAAGGGGAAGTGACATCTTTCGCATCTTCCATAGACCGCCTCTTTGTTATCGACCACCAATTAAATTCGAACGCTTTTTTCGATCAATCTCAGTCTGAAACGGAACGATAACGTGCTCAAATAATTGAATTCGTCAAACTGGAGCAAACATCGAATCGTTCATCGCAAAGACTATGTATTAAGATTATGGAAACCTTCTCCCTCAATTTATTCTTCTTGTTGAAAATGCTTAATTCAGGTGTACTCTAGCCATTTTTATTAATTTCATGTTTTTAGCTTGAGGGCTTAACGTCACGTAACCACATCCCGTTTTTCAAATTCTTAACAACGAAACGGTTTGCACTCGAGTATTATCGTATTTAAAGGAATAGCTGTCATGCTCCTGCTTTGAAAAATTATCTTCTCGGCTCCGAAAGACTTATCATTAATCGACTTACAATCGACTGCTACGATTCTTATAAAATTTGGGATAAATGTGTCTGCTTTGCTAAGGTGAACTTGGCAGCCGTTCCTTAAAGCATATATTTTCGTAAATGAGAACTTGCTGCATTTCTCGATTTCTTGGCAGAAGAGGGTCATATTAAAAAAGTTATTTCCAGTAGCACGGAATCTAAAATTGCATAATTTATGTAGTATGGTAGTACAATCGGTGCCAGACTTGATGCACAATTTTAAAATGCATTGAAACAGGAACAGATATTGCATCTAATAGAAAATGCTTTACTCTCCCAGCTGCTCTATACTGCTTCTATATTCTCTAACGCACACGGTTTCAAAAAGAAACTGCAACCGACTACTTTTATTTTAATGAAAAACCGCAATCTCATTTTGGTAGAGTAATCACTACCTTTTTTTGATATCACTTAATATGTGAATGAAACCACTTTCTTAAATTGAAAATCCTTTCCGGTTCCTTTATTAAATGCAAAAATGTTGAACGCAACTGCCGTTTGAAAGGACTCGAGTTCCGTTGTACTCACCTTTATAGGTCACATGTATTTATTAGAAAACCCAATACGGCTTTTGTGAATGCATCCGTACGTGGCTATATTTATTTTTCAGTATTCGTTATTCGTAGTTTTCAATAAATATAATGTTACATCGACAAAGTAAACATACATAAATGAAAAAGAGAGGTCAGCGATTGTGGAAGCGATATTTGCGCATGGAAATGTACGATACAAAATATACATTCCGAAAATATAAATATGAGCAAGAAATTATGATTAACATAAAAGAAACTGATGGAAACAAATTTTGTATTTACCGGGAGACTACAGAATAATAATATATTACGTTCTCATTACGCGCACTTAGAGCGAAAGGGTTTTTTGTGTGTTAATTTCGGCACAAATTATACAAGAAAATTAAAAGTGTATGTAGGAGTTAAAAGAAAAAGTTGTAAAACGTCTTTCAAAATTGAATCCACGAAAATCATCTTGGAAAACCTTCTAGAAATAGGAAATTTCTAGAAATCGAAGAGCGAGATAATTACTGTCTAAATTTCATTATACACATGAAATAAATTCACCTCCATTTTACTTTATTA